TCTGCACTATGTGTGCTGTATGTGTTTGGGTGACTAACATAAAATGGTTTAAAAAGCCATTTGTTTGGGGATCATTTGATCTGAACTTTTTGTGCTGTACTGAATGTGTTTGATTCACTAACAAATATTGGTTTAAAGCAGTGGTCACCAACCTTTTTAGGTGATAAAGATCTACCGATCTATCGCGATCGACGGGTTGGCGACCACTGGTTTAAAGGATTTGTTTGTCTGGGAATCATTTGGTTTGCACTGTTTGCGCTGTATATGTTTGATTCATTAACAAAATGGGTTCAAACAAGTAATTTTTGGGAAATTCTTTGGTCTGAACTGTCTGTGCTGTAATCATTTGATTCACTAACAAGAACCAGTTTGCGAGTCTTTTGCTCTTTTGCTTTATGTGTTTGATTCACTAGCAAAATTGGTTCAAAAGAATCAGTTGTTTGGGAATCATTAGGTCTGCTCTGTTTGGGCTGTATCTGTTTGATTCACCAGCAAGAACGGGTTTATAAGAGTTATTTGTTTAGATGAAGGAAAGTGAAGTGGATTCAAGACCGAAGAGTTTTTTTTAGTGTTGTTGAAAAAACAGCATATATGCTGGTTAGGTATGTTTTGAAGCATGGCAGCTGGTTTAAGCTGGTCCTTAGTTGGTCCTGAGCTGGTTATAAGCTGGTCCTAAGCAGCTAGCTCCTGTTCAGAACCAGCTCGTGACCAACTAAGGACCAGCTTAAACCAGCTCAAACCAGCTGCCATGCTTCAAAACATACCTAACCAGCATATGCTGTTTTTTCAACAGGGGAATTTAGCTAGATGCTAATGCTTACATACAAACACAACATGGGGGTCTGAGATATCAAATGTATTATGCTGTGGCAGTATGTACTAATATTGGTGTACTGCAGGAGTTTTTAGCAGGGGGTCCGCAATGGTATCACAGGGGTCCGTCAATGATTAAACAGAAATACAATATTAAATTAACTTCAACCAAATGCTAAATCTTGCATCTCGTCTACCACATTAAAATGTATGAATTCAAAATAAAATTTACACGTCTGTACATCAATACTGATTATTTGAATGACTTTGCTATGTTAGCATCATAGCAAAGTATCCAAATATGCTACTATACATATGATATTATCAACCCAGTCTCATAAAAATACGTACCTCTGCGTACATTTCTGCAACACCGTTTTTTATAGGTCAGGCTTGAAATCTAATCAGTTTTATGCAATATATACTTAATAAATACTCAAAAGTATGTGTGAATTGTCTGTTTTTGAGGTTTAACCTGGTAGTTTTGAGTTTGAATATGATCCTGGTTTTGTAATATAACAGCAGGGGTGTGGACTCGAGTCACTTGACTCGAGACTCGACTCGGACTCGAGTCCCAAATTTGATGACTACAGCAATATTTACTCATGACCTTCAGAAAGCATATTCATGTGGCAGCTGCCGTTTTGTCACATGAAAACTTGATTGTTTTAAAGTTTGATAGATTTTGACGGAGTCTGACGTGCGTCTTTCCGGCAGAGCTGAAAGGAAACATCTAGCGAGAAGATGCCTTTTGCTGTCTTCTGTCATTCTCTGTCACCCACATTCATCCCGTCTGTGGTATAAAAACGCTGTCTCTTCGCTGAGAAATGTCTGCGTGTTGCCGTCTGGTGTAACTCTGTGTCCTCTGAGCTCTGGAGATTCGGGGATATGTGTGTTGAAGGAAGGAGAAAAGAAATGGCTTTCATTTCTTTTGTCTTCAAATGAAATTCTCCTGACTTTTCCCTCCTCTCTGACACGCTGATTAATTCCAGCATGTTGTCTCTTTATATTAGGGCATGAGCGGACCGGACCGCGGCTAAGCAAACCAATCTCATCCTGTTGCCATGGGAGCGCTTTCCTCGCACCGTTGGTAGCTAGAGCTTGGCCCATCACCAGATCGAACGCGTACCAACTTCCTGTTCCTTCTATGAGGGCTGTGAAAGAGCTCAGATGGAGCATTTCGCTCAGACTCTGGTCTACTTGTAGTTTATATACAGCAGTATTATTATAGTTAACTAAAACGTTTAAAAAATGTTACTTGAAATAAAATAAATGTTAACTGAATTAAAAATCAGATATGAAAAAAACTATTTTATTTCAGCTAGTTGTCAAGGCACCAAGGCAACATTTCTCATTTTCATTTAGTTTAACTTTATGTAGTAAAATAACTAAAACTAAAACTGAAATAAAAATGTATAATAATAAAAAAAATATAGAATTGTTTAAAAAAATAAATAAAATTGAAAAAAAAAAACACAAAATTAAAAACTGGAAATAAAAAAATAAAAACTAAGTATCTCTGTGATACTAAAATTAAAGTGGTGCATTGCTGCCACATGCATATTATTTTTTATACTCAATTATGTCCTAATAACGAGATATGTCATTTAAATAAAATATACCTTGTTATTATGAGAAAATATTTTGTTTAAACAACATAATATCTTGGTATTATGAGAAAATGTCATTTAAATGTTATTACGAGAAAATATTTTGTTTTAACTGCATAAATCTCGTTATTATGAGAAAATATATTGTTTTAAAAAGAAAATGACGTTTTAACAACATAGCATCTCGTTATTACGAGAAAATATATTTTAACAACATAATGTCTCATTATTACAAGAAAATATTTCATTTAAATGACATAGCATCTCACAAGAAATTATGTTGTTTTATTGACAAAATATTATTAGAAAACGTCGTTTTAACAAGAAAAATGTCATTTTAACAACATAGCATCATTTTAATGACATAACATCTCATTATTACAAGAAAATATTGTTTAAATGACATAACATCTCATTATTATGACATAAGTGAGTGGAAAAAAAATATGTACTGTATGTGGCAGCAATGCACCACCGTATAAAACAACACTAATATACAGTATGTTGTGATATTTCTTATGGGCAGGTGCAGAAAAAAGAATTGTATAATTGTTTAATTTGACAAATTATTTTAGTGTCTTCAAACAATCCTTCATAATGCTTTTGCCCTATTAAAGGTACTTTAAGGAATGGCTTTAATGTCACGGATAAAGCGTCTCCACCACCTGATAGACATCGCTGAAATAGGTGTGTCGAGACATCAGATCCGTCTCTGTGACCGATCAAGATGCTGTGAGCAGATGATAAAAAAGATTTTGGGAGTGGCCAGAAGTCTTAGCCAATCAGAAACTGGCTCTGCCTGTCAATCATGTTGCATGTTCATGATTAGAATGGCAATTCTTAAGGAATTTAACCATTCAGGTTCTATTAATGAGTCTTGTAGTATTTTGAGGAAGAAATATTTTGGAAACGAAGTGTGATTTCATTGCAAAATGATATAAAATAATTTCCTGTCAACTACATTAATAGTCATGAGGTACACAATGATTTAAGTCTCAAAGTCTTAAGTACAAAACTGTCAGTTGTAAGATGTACAGTATCTCACAGAAGTGAGTACACCCCTCACATTTTTGTAAATATTTTATTATATCTTTTCATGTGACAACACTGAAGAAATTACACTTTGCTACAATGTAAAGTAGTGAGTGTACAGCTTGTATAACAGTGTAAATTAATGCGCACCGATCACACACCTGAAGTGCACAAACAGATAGCCTTCTCAGACAGCAGGTGAATACCAATGGCTCCCTTGACCAGTATCCTTGTAAGCACAGTCGGTTGTTTTAAGTGAATGTAAACAGTAAAGAAAATATCGAGTGAAATTAGACAAACTTCAAGGGGGGCGGCTGTCCTAAAAGTTTGAAAACCCCTGGCGTAGGCTAAAAGAAGATTGCCAAGACCCTGAAACTGAGCTGCAGCACAGTGGCCAAGACCATACAGCGCTTTAACAGGACAGGTTCCACTCAGAACAGGTTCCACTCAGAACAGGCCTACAACTGGCAATCAGTTGGTCTACACTGGTTACACTGTATGTGATTTGGAGTCAATTGTTTTGGAATCCTTTGGTCTGCATTGGTTGTGCTGAATAATATTTGTCTGATTTACTAACAAGAACTGGTTAATAATAGTTATTTGTTCAGGAATCATTTGGTCTGAACCTTTTTGTGCTGTATGTGTTTAGACCATAGACTGTAAAAAAACATGGACGTAGTGTCCGTGACCTCACCCGTAGGTTTCTAAAGAGTGTTTTTGAAGCTCAAAGTGGGCCATCGCCATCTTGGCAGCGCGTCACTCCCGGATAATCGAAAATGGGCAAAGAGGCGGGAGCTGGTTGCTGAAACCACGCCCACCTAGCTCGACGCCGGTGACAGCAGCGGCAATCCACCTGCAATCCACACCCTTAATTATGCAGAACTTTAAGGCTTAATATAATTTAAACAGATGACTTATAAAAAAATTCGCCCCCCTCACAGTTGTGAGTGAAATTAGACAAACTTCAAGGGGGGCGGCTGTCCTAAAAGTTTGAAAACCCCTGGCGTAGGCTAAAAGAAGATTGCCAAGACCCTGAAACTGAGCTGCAGCACGGTGGCCAAGACCATACAGCGGTTTAACAGGACAGGTTCCAAATCATTTTTTGAACCAGGCTGTAAACATGTTTTTTTCTGCTGTAAAGTTGGGCATTTTAACATGGGGAGTCTATGGGATTGACTCCCTTTTGCAGCCAGCCTCTAGCGGTCAGTTGACGAATTACAGTTTAAGTCACTTCCGTGTTGGCTTCACGAGAGAGAGCGGGAGGTTGCCTCTTGGTTTAGACTCACTTCAGAAAAAAGTTTTAAAAAATCATTTTGTCAGGAATCATTTGGTCTGCATGTTTTCTTTTGGTTCACTTTAAAGAACTGGCTTGTAAGAGTCATTTGTTCTGGAATCATTTGGTTTACACTGGATGCACTGAATGTTTTTAATTCAGTAAAATCATGTTTGAGCTACGTTTGAACAAAATAGCCTACATCGGTGGCCTGTGTGTAGCTTATAGCTCTAATATATTTTCCTTTTTATTTTTGTCGTTTTGGTCAACAGATATCTTGAGACTAAACGATAGGAAGACAAGACAAGAGAACAGGGCCGGAAGACAACACATGCTGGATACAAATTCACCTCCACCTGAGCTCTGTATTAATGCGCCAAGTTGCATCAACCCTTTACAACACCGCAAACAACCTGCAGGTAAACTATGAGCTAGCCTATACTCTCAGTTTTTTTCCAAGAATTATCATTGCCCATCGTGATTTAGGCTATTGTTCCTAATTTCATTTTTCAGTGAACATTTTTGTCTTTCTATCTTTATAAATGCAGTAAACCACTCAAGGTTGCACATCACACAGTTAAAGGAGTAGTTCACCTAAAAATGAAATTTTGCTTAAAATGTGCTCACCCTCAGGCCATTGAGCATGTAGATCAGTTTGTTTCTTCATCAGAACAGATTTGGAGAAATGTAGCATTCCATCACTTGCTCACCAGTGGATCCTCTGCAGTGAATAGGTGCCGTCAGAATGAGAGTCCAAACAGCTGATAAAAACATCACAATAATCTACAAGTAATCCATACAACTACATTTCTCCAAATCTGTTCCGATGAAGAAACAAACTCATCTACATGCTCGATGGCCTGAGGGCGAGTGCATTTTCAGCAAATGTTCATTTTTGCATGAATGGTAAAATCACTGTAATGCTCAGCCTCAGGTGGCTTATTGGTTTATTCTGACCCGCCCGTTACCATCTGGCCCGTGGCCCCGTGATGCCATCTCCTCTGGTGTTGTATCGGAGATGCCCATCGACGTGCCCCTCTTAATCAGTGCACCTGTCCAAACAGATGTCCACGAGGATTTTGTTTATTGATCGCGTGTGCCGCTCGATCTCCTTGATGGGATTCACAGGATGAACTCCTGGGGTCTCAGAGAGGAAATGAGAAATCGTTCTTCCTCATATAATTTGTTTTTTTTAATATCTGATAAGCTTGCATGTGCAGGCTTTGTGTTTTATTTGTGCGGATCAGGGCTGACTCAGGCTAGGCTCCGCAGCTGTTTCTCAGGTACAGTCCAGCAGCCTTGAGCGAGAGGAACGAGAGCAGCATTGACAAAACGCTTCAGACGCCTTGTGAGAGTGAAATCTGTCTGTTTGCTTCCGTACACTGTGTATTCCGGGTCTCAAGGTGATGCACCTCTCGGCCGTCTAGAGTGATTCTGTCAGGAAGCACACTGTCTTCAGGCGATGGCTTATTAGTTTGGAGGTGGGACTCTCGTTTTGAGCTCTGGGTTCAGTGGTTAAAGTCAGCATGAAACCGCATATGCAACCCATTTTATTCTTGTAGTGTGATGTATTTCTGATACAATATGTAGGATAGGACTTCATTAGGTTCTTTAGGAATTGATTTGATGGTGGAAAGTGGGCATTTCACATAAGAATGGAGTCAGAGTGAGTTTGTAGTGATAAAAAACATTTAAGAAAGCTTTTTAGCCATAATCTCTTTAACGAAATTATTGACGAAACAATCAATGCATTTAATAACTATAATTAAAAGATTTTAATTAAAATATTCTATTGACAGCGATATGATGACAAAAAGTAACAAGATGTGTTAATGTTAATTACTGTTATTTAAAAGCCGCAATTAGTTACTGCTAATTAAAACAATGATTTAAGAAAGAAGAAAAATGTTTAATCATTTATTCATAATTTTTTAACATATAATTGTGACAAGCATATAGTGCGTTTGTATATATAAACAAGCATATACTTTCTTTGAGATGTACATTAATAAATGTTATATATATTATATTATTTTATTTCATTTTTTGTCTACACTTTTAATATTAATAATACTTATTTTTGTTGTTAAGGTTTAAAATGTTCAAAACTTGGTTAAGGTTTGGTTAAACTGTTTGGAAGTTTGATTAAGCTTTAGTTTGTTCAAGTTTAAGACACATTAATGACATTCTGTCAGTGTAAAATAGGCTAAAATTAATGTGTGATGACAAAATATTGACTCAATTTAAATTACATGGTTTCAAAACTATAAAAAATAAAAATCTGGAAAAATAAACGTGAAGGCTAAAGGTCAATTCAATTTTTGTTCTTTATTTCTTTATTTGCAGTGTTTAATTATTGTAGTACCATTTTTGCATTAATGATAAACAGCTGTAAATGACCTCATTATCTAGTGGTAAGATTAAAGAAAGATTCAGAAACATTATTTTTCACTATCCAGTCAAGTCACACATCTCATTATGTAAGTTAAATGGGTTGCAAATGTCAATTGACGCTCACTTTAGATAATGAGTAGCTTGACAAACTGCAGTTTTAAAGTATCTTCCCCAGCACTCTCTCCACCGGCGTCAGGAGTGGAAAGTGCACATGAGGAGAAACAGAAGCATGCAGTCATTTGAACAAGAGGTGGTCTGAATCACTCCAAAACGACTGTCCTTTGCAGCGTATTCACTTAGCTTTGAGTTCAACTAAAGAGAGGACAGCCGTTTAATTAGCAGTGTTTGTTTTAAAAATGGTAAATGATTATCTGTGTGCTGGAGGCATTCAGGTCTGCCGTTTTTCTGCTGGCCTTCAGGACGGGACGATGATTGAATGTGTAGAGCCGGTAGCACACACACACACGTTTAGCTTGATCCCTGCTAATCTTGTCAGCCATCAATATGTTTGGTCAGTGCAGGTATCAGCGATTGATTTTTCTTCTCGGGTTCAATGCGATTCAGAGTGAAAAACCAACGGCTCCATCTCTACTCTTATTCATCATGTCCTTGTTTCTCCTTCCCTCTCATCAGATCTTCTCCTCTCTTCTTGTTCTTCTCTCACCTCACCCTGATCTGAGTTCAAGCCCGTTGAGATTTAGCATTAACATGCTTCTTTGTGTGAAGTTCGGAGGATGTTCTCAAACCTCTTGTACTTGTCTGGGCTTTTGGCCTGTTTTTAGCAGTTCTCGCTATGCCAAGCATCAATATCACTGTTTCTCTTTCTTATTGTTCAAATCCCTAACACTATTAAAATTTTGTGCTACAGTCACAGATGATTCCTCAAATCTCGCTGCTGTGGGAACTGAACTGAGAATGCTTTTTAAATTTCAGTTCAGTTTGAACTATTGGAGAAATGTTTAACAGATGGATGGATGGCTAGATTGTTACATTGTTGGATGGATGGTTAGGTGGTTAGATTGCTAGATTGTTAGAAGGTTAGAAGGTTTGTCGCCGTTGTCCTGTGACTGCAGTCGCATCATCCAGGTGGATGCTGCACACTGGTGGTGGTTGAGGAGAGATGAATGGATGAATGTTTAGATGGATGGATGGATGGTTAGATGATTAGATGGTTAGAAGGTTGGATGCATGGATGAAGTGAATGGATAGATAGTTGTTAGATAGTTGGATGTGTGGTTAAGTGGTTAGATTGTTAGACGGATGGGTGGATGGTTAGATTGTTGGATGGATGGATGGTTAGATGGATGGATGGTCAGATGGATGGATGGATGATGGTTAAATAGTTAAATGGATGGGTGGATGTTTGATGGATGGATGGTTAGATTGTTAGATGGTTGGATGGATGGATGATGGCTAGGTAGTTGGATAGGTGGATGTTTGATGGTTGGATGAATGGAGGGATAGATGGTTAGATGGATGGTTAGAAGGTTAGATGAATGGATTAATAGATGGATAGATGGTTAGATGAACATTGTTGTGATTTTTGGGGTAGTTGCTATGGTGGTTGCTAGGGTGTTGTTGTGCAGTTACTAGGGTATTCGTGGGTTGGTTCTAAATGGTTTCTAAGGCATTGCTAGGCAGCTGAGAAGGTGTTTTCCAAATGATGGATAGGGTATTTTTTTTTCCTAACTTCAATGAAACAATCTTAAAAATAAAAAAAGTTCAACGTCGTCTTATGAAGAACCATTTTCCATTATAAAGAAACATTTGTGAAATGGATATTAAAGATTCTTCATGGAACCATCAAATATAATAAAGAACTTTTTGAGAAAAGTTTAAGGAAAAAATGGTTATTTTAAGAACTGTTCCTTCAAAGGTTCTTTGGGGAACCCAAAGTGGCTGTTCTATGGCATCACTGCAAAAAACCACTTTTGGAAACTTTATTTTTAAAAGTGATAGCAACTTCAGAACAATGTCCTTTGGTACTATAGAAACGTCAGAAGGTTCTTATTCATCAAGCTAAAAAAATCATCTTGAGACTTTATTTTTTAGAGTTGAGTTCATAAATCTTCACTAACATGTTGTATAAATGGACTCATTTGGCAGGAACGGACAGCTGTGAGTGTCTGAACACATTTTTTCCTTCCTTTCTCTGATCTTCTGTGCACAGGTTAATAAAGAGATGACAGGAATGGCTGGATGCCTCATTGATTAGCAATAAACAAGGTTTGTTCAAATCAACTCACGTTGCTTAAAAATATACATTCTCAGGTCTAGACTAAACTTTATGAAAGTGTAGATGTAAGCTGAGCTGTAACTCTAACAAGCTTGGAGATTAATTGATATGATCTTCATCAGTTTGATAACTGAACTCTGAATATGAATCACAGTCCAACATTCGTGATGAATGAATTCATCATGGTGAGTCGTGGAACAAATAGCGAAGAAACGTTTAATCGTCGTTTATCAGTGTGGTTCGCTTCAGTTTGTTTTAGAGTGTTTGGTTTCAGGTTTAAGGGACTGACAAACCTTTAATGTGCTGGTAAAATGAAGCAAGTAAAGCTTCAGTAGGTTCCGTCATGCTGCTGTCGCGCCCCACAGAGAGACACACAGAGACGGAGTGAGACAGACAGTGAGAGTCCTTTTGGGCCACAGTGTGTGATCAAATATATCCCCATCTTCACACCTCATAAAACTCTATTATGTCGCTTTCAGACTCCAAAACCAACGAGAGGAAATGGCTGCTTGTCAGAGATGGCAGAGCTTTATTGGAAATGTTTCTGCTGGGTAAAATCCTCGGGAGAGCGTTTGATTGCGGGACATGCTGTTTCTGACTGTGAAAGCAGGTAGCTCATCTGAGGTCCGCTTATAGCTTATTCAGGCCACTTACAGTGGAAGAGAGAGCGTCTGATCGACACTGACCAACAGCGCTTTGCTTTCTTATGTGTTGTTCAGAGGCAGGTATATCTGAAATTGGTGATGCCACAATAGACCAGCACGCAACAAGTACCAGTTCTTTCACAGA